CTCCAAATATTCTTATTGTAATTCTTTGTCCTCCATCCAAAGCACGAATCTTTCCCTAGACCAGTGTTTCTCAACCTTGGCAACGTTAAGACATGTGGACTTCAACTTTCAGAATTCCCCAGCCAGCATCGCTGGCTGGGGAATTTTGGAAATTGAAGTCCCCGCATCTTAAAGTTGCCAAGGCTGAGAAACACTGCCCTAGACTATTACTCTTCTCTCAAATTCGGCAGGTCAGAGTTGATAATATTCTGTGGGGAAGAAGAGTGAGGTTTGGAGCAGAATAATCTCACAAGAACAAAGCAAGCTAGAGCCTGAATAAGAAACAATGTCCTTGTATGGATTCAAACAAAAAATATTTCCCACAAACGTTCCCTTTCAGAAAGCAGGATTATCTGAAGTGGACTTTTTAAATAAATTATTGAAACATGAAATTAACAAAGGGAATATTTGGAGCAACTATTCTGTAGTAACAGGTTCAAGGGGTTATTTAGTCTTCCTGTTCTCATGGCATTTGTTTTCTCTCATGTTCTTCTTTCATTTCAGGAGATTTTTAGCTGTGTCTGCATATAGGTATAAAAATGTTCGTCAAACACTTGTTCTGTTCTCCCAAAGTATTGTTGACAAAGAAGCCAAAGAGACAAAATGAGAATCATTTTGAAAAACTTTAAGCTTTATTGCTTTGGAATGAAACTTTCTTAATTGTTACATGTGCATTTGCTATGTATATCAAGTTTCCATGGCTTGGTTGCATTTTCACTAAGAATGTTCTGAAATACCAAAGGCGATAAAAGACTTTGCCTTGTCTTCTTGTTCAGCTGTTGCCAGTGCAAAGACAGGCTATTGTGGATAATGGGAGCGGCTTGTAAAATCTTGATTAGAGAATTTATGGTTGAAAGCAGATAATGATGAGCTGGACTTGCCCTTTGCCCTGTCAAATACCCCCCAAATCTGCCCAGGGTTCTCCAGACATTAGAAGCAGATTTGGAAGGTCTGACTATTAGAGAAATGTTGCTTTATAAAATGCAGTTTATATTGTGCGTTCTAACAAAATAACATCTAAATCTCTAGCTTGCTTGTAACTAAAGGGCCATGGTTAAGGCAAGACAAGGCCCTGGTAAGTATTTTCTAAAACAAACAAACCTCTTATTTTTCACATTATGTCTCTAACTATAAAAAATATTTCAACCCAATTCGATCAATACTGCCACAAAAACAAATTAAAAGTTCTGGGATGATACATTTAACTTTTTGTTTCAAATGTTAGACTTTATCAAATCTTTCATTAGTTTGGTTCCATAGTTG